TTCACCAGCAAAATCCTCTGGTCCCATCTCCTCCACATCTGAAAGGGGATGTGGTATAGCTGCTTTGCCTTTATCTCTTCTCATCCTCCCTCAGATTCCTACCATTTTCTTCCCTTGTTGACCTTTGATTGAATGATTCCCTTTGCCCATCACTGTTTATTTGTCTTTTTCCAGTACATCTTGGGATTTGCTCTATTACTTGCAGCACAAAAACAATTCACAAGGGAAAATATTTTTGAATATTTCTTATGTGGCTAACGGATCATTTTAGATTTGCTCATGGGGAAAGGGTGATTGATGCTATTTCTATTTTTGAAGAAACCACTAACCTCAGTCTGACCTTTAATTTGTTTATGTATTGAAGGACTTGTTAGAAGTTTAAGTCTCGTTTTTTATTGTCTGTGTATAATTTTGGCAAGAAGTTTAAATAAAAACAGCATGGAAAGAACACATTTAGTATCTCCTCCTTCTCTTTCTACTTCTTCTTAATCAATTACTAAGTTTAGTTTTACTCCTTACTGGTAAGAATAAATACCTATCCTAAACTTAAACTTTGAGAGCACAAGTACAAAATGGCAAGATTTGAGTATGATGATGCCGAATAATGCACACCACTACTTCAACTATTTGCAACAAAGTATGGTGTCATAATATATTTCAGTTATTTTGTTCTATTAAAAGGTCTTGAATGTTTGGAAATCAACTGTAATTGAATTTTTATCCAGAGCCAGACAAAAACCTTTCGAACAGTCTTTTCTATCAAGTGGCCATGCCATTCCATTTTTCATTTTATGATTGCAAATCTAATTAAACACATTTATTAAACTTATCAATTTTTCCTCCTTAGTTCTCCATGTCTTATTAGCTATATTCATATGGAACTGAACCATAAAAATTATCATTTTAATCTAGAAAGTTATGCAAATGCATCACATATGGTTAATTTTTAGCTGACTATTATACGGATTAATTAAGGATAGTTGAGTTAACCATGGATGGAGATGTGTTTAATGACAGCTTCTCATTTAAGAAGCCCCACTACATTTTTTTCTTTTCCTATTTCAGAGTGAATTTTTCATGATGGTCTTGTTCTCTGCAGTCCAGGGAATGCAGAATGCTTCTGTTCAAGGAGTTTGGATGAAGATTCTGATGAAAACAAGGGATCCTCTTCTGAATAAACATGTTCCAAATGGACATATTCATTTGCTATGTGAGTCATTGCCTCAGAAATGCTTGTCTACATATTAACCTTTGAAAGATGCCACACCATGCCATGTTGACAGTTTAAAAAGATTGTTGAAGCATTTGGAAATGTAGATGATGTTCTGAAGGTGGCAGAGATCTTGATGTTTTGGGTATGGAAACGACAGCTGCTGGGTGCTTTGCATTGCAGTGAAAATGAGAAAACTTCTGCCATATGCTTAGCTGTCCCTATTACTCTCATTGCTTAATGGCTCAATTTACAATTGGACAGCCTGAAAGAACAATCCAGCTGCAGCAGTTACAGGGACAAGTGATGTAATCTCTACTGTCACCACAGATGTAAACTATTTTTTTCAGAGAATGTGGGGCAAGATCTCAAGCTCAACATCTTCTCCCTACATCAGAGAAAAAGCTGCACACTGCTGCATCCCAACAAGATGACTGGTAGCAAGATGTCACCAACTTTGCATGGGAAAAGCTATTTCTGCTTGTGAATAAAGTCATGTGTAGGCTAGAATGCTTATAAACTAATACTAATGGCTGCTTTTGAGTGAGGTCATATCCCATAGTCTGCAACTAAATTTATAAATTGCTGCTTTAATAATCTGATCCTAGTTTTCCTTTTGTAGAGTTCTCATGTGATAATTTAAAAAACAACATGGGTAAGCAGAATCTTCTCCAAAAGCATGGTGATATAAACTAGTTATGCACTTTTTAAAGTTGTCCTGAATGGCATCTTAGCATTTCACAAAAAGATAGACATGGTCTCAAGCATAACCTTCTACAAAATGGAAACATATGCAAGCAATTTTTACAGAGGGAAAGCGCAAAAGTATCCTATCAAGATTTTCACCAAAACATACAAAAAACAGAGTTGTTCCCCAGCATCTGTTTTTTATTTTAAACAGCCAAGATTTACCAGGAAGGGCACAAATAAGTTCATTGTGCATAAATACTTAACTACAAAACTTGTAAATGGTGATCGGATGCCAGCTGATAAAAGGATTTGTTCTGTATACAATGAAATTCTACCCCTTTCACTGTTTAATTGCACACATGCTGCACTGTATCTGTTGAATTTCTTCCTGCAATTTGGTTGCCCACTTGACATTTTCAAACTCAGCTTTACAACAGCAGCATTTGAGGAATTAAGTTTCTTTCTGGGTTGAAAAGATGCATTTGGAGACAACAATAAATCTTTCATGACTTGGGTAAAGGTCAAAGCAGTAAAGCCAAATTGTTTTTAAGAAAAATATGTCATTATTTTATTAACAGAGGGTGATGAAAATTTATGAGGGCAAAACTCAAATGGGTTATTTAGAGGATTTTGAAATAACAACTTCCCACCCAGATGGGTGAGGGGGGGGGGAGAAAGCAGCTACAAAGACAGACACACATACACACACACACTCCCGTGCAGGCGCTTCTGATCATCTAATTAAAAAAAAAGAACAATTCCAATTTAATAGTTGATTAGCCTTTTATTTTATATCAGAGCATTAATAGGTCTAAATTTAATAATTATTTTACCAGTATGCACAAAAATGGAAAGATACTTTAATTTCCACAATGTATGAATGGCTGGAAAAACTGTCGGAACTAGCAGAGATGGCTAAATTAATTGCTCAAATCAAGGAAACGGTTACATCCAACTTTGTTTCTACCTGGAGACCACTTTTGGATTTTGTGCTTGAGATGGGGGGGTGGGGGGAAGGAAACACTGGCTTTGGGTTTTGTTGATTAGCTAGGTTTGTTGTTATGGTAATTCCAATGCATATTATGTAATTGTAAAAAGTTGAGACTGTTATGTTACTCTACTGAGCTAAAAAGAGTTGGAAATCTATGCTTTTCTTTTCTTTCCTCCCTTTATCCTACACCTTTATCTTATTTCCTCCTCCATTTTCCAATATTTCCATTTGTATTTTATACTTTAATAAAACATGAATAATTATTTACCCTCTACATTAGAAGCTTAAAACACTTCTAAGCAGACAGTTTGACTTAACTGCCAATCCACTCTGCCATCTTAAAGATAGTTGGCTGTTTCCCCCCATTTTTTAGTCTCAAATCTTTCAACTATTGAGCAGCATCTCCTTTCCCACAACAGTTGCCTCTATAATAATTTAAATCACATTGTTCATATTCCTGGATTATTTAGAAAGATTTTCTCCAGTAAAGTCTGGAGATGATGATGATTGAATATGCTTTGATCCAGTGGAACTGCTGGTGGCCCGACAAAACCACGCTCGTCAAAATAGCGGCGACAAAACCGCGTCACTAAAACCGCGATGTCATCACCGCGACATCATCAGCGCGGCAACAACAGCGCGGTGACAAAAGGGCGCTTTAAAACAGCGCCTTAAATTAAGGTAAGGGTTAGGATTAGGTTTAGGGTTTTGGTTTAGGGTGAGGTTTAGGGTTAGGGTTAGGGTTAGGATTAGGGTGCTGAGTGCTTTGGAAGGCGCGGATTTGGCCTCCGCGCTTTTGTCATCGCGCTAGGGCCGCCTTTTTCCTTAGCGCTTCGGATGGCACGGATTTGCCCTCCGCGCTTATGTCGGCGCGGATAAGGGCTTCGCGGTTTTGTCGGTGAACCATCTGGATGAATCTGAGGCTTGGCCCTAGTGCCCCATTCAGCTGGCTTGTATTTCCATCTTAATGTATGAAGCTGCTGTGTAAAATTGTACAGAGTCAAACTATAAGCAATCAGGAATTTCCTCTTTTCATTTAACTCTTGTGGTAACACAGAAAGTCTGGCCACAATTACGGTTTGTGGAGGCAAGTTTATGTCACACAAGACTAAAGGAGAACATAGAGTAGTTTTCTGTAATGTGGAACAAAGAACAGGAGACAGAATTATCTAGAATAACCTCACAGCTTCCACCCATGTGCAGGCCTTAATAAATCTTTCTGTGCCTTTGGCATGAGAAAAAAACAGAGGGAAAGAAATAGAGTGCTCACTTGGATTAAAAAAAAAAGGATTTCCTATCATTTGTATTTAATATATAGGAACAATTCTGGAAGAATATATTTGGCATGTTTTTAGGTTGTAAAAATCTAGGTGGTCACTAGATGGCAACAGATGGACTTCTGGATCTCTAAGTCATTTTGCTGTCACCTATGGCAGCATAGATGCCATATTTTGCAGCTTAGACGTAGTATGCCGGATAGTTTTTTTTTTTTTTAAAAGCCAACTTTGAGAGCACTCACAGCTTAATAACACCCCCCCCCCCCCCAAGTAGTCACAAACATGTGGCAGAAGTAAAATTAACTGTTGGAGGAGAAATTTAAATTACAGCAATGGCTAAAAAAATCCTATAATTATATAATATACTATTTCTGTTCTGGAATTAGTAATCCTTGCTCATACAAATTAATGAACCCAAAATAAATGACTTAGAGGAATGAAAAGTTGTTGCTGAAGATGGTAGCTTATCTCCAAACAAGGCAAAATATTTGATAAACCAGGGATCACAAACTATTTTGGACATTTGAAATTTCAGGAACCCTAATAAATGCCAGATTTCATGAGGCTTATTTATTTTCAAACTGCTACTATAGTGGACAAAAATGGTCCTAAACTTCCCACTTAGTAGAGGGAAAACTTTTATTTATTTTGCTTTCAGATGAAGACACACTTTTGAAATAGCTACTTGTTTTATTTCCTCCAAGATATTTCCTATATCCGAAGCTTAACTCTGTAGGGAAATGGGTAGAGCTCCTCAAAGCATGAGCTACCACTAGCCACGTTTCTTTTCTAGTAATTTGAGAGGAATGAAGCATTTCTCAAATAACTCTAATATTACTTTATCTGTACTTTATTTTGTTGCATGCTTATTTCCATTTTTAAAAAAATTAAAATTATTGGGACTCTGATCCCAATATGAAGACCTTAGAAACACTGGAGATCTTAGAAATAAACCTCAGTCTGGGCTATATATTTCAAAAAGCTGGGTTTTTACCTAAATGTAAAATAAATATCTCTTAAAATCTTTCAGTTATAAGAGAAATGGTTATTAGTATGCGAATATTACAGATGGACCAAAATGGAAGTAGATTCTTATGCCTTAGATAAAGAACCCAGAAAATGGAGGTTTACCGTACTTCATAAAGTCTGTCTCAGGCCCATACTTATGAACTCAGTACTCCTTTCAGTCTATGAATTGGGCAATTGTCATATTCCTACTTGCCAGTAAATCCATTAAAGTAGAGCTTCAAAACTACAGGCTTTATTTTACCATCAAAAGAAAGTTGAAACTAGTAAACATTTTCCAGTGCTTCCCCCTCTCCTCTCCTGAATTGGTTCCATTCCCATAATTAATGTTTACGACCTTAATTAATGATAAGACTACTGTATGCCTATGGATTGTTTTTTCCCTTTTAAATGCAATTTCTATTCTTTTCTCATATGGAATATGATGCAACCTAAGTGTAGAAATTGTGAAGTAAAACCTGGTCTAGACCAAAGATAATTGCCTTTTTCCTGGCTTATCAAAAAAGTTTCAGATATACTATTCAGTACTAATTCATAGTACTTCCATATCTTAGCCATGACTCTCTCAACTATCCAATGTTAGATATTCTTTCAGGAACTGCCAAAGATTAACACACTTTCCCACCCACATTAATACTAATCTACAACTGGCCAAGATATGAATGTGTTAGTATTTCACCTTGTAGAGGGAAAAACAACAACAACAAAGAACTTTCACAGAAAAGACTGCAACAGAAACTTCACCTTAAGTTTCAGCAGCTCCACCTGGAGAGGGCCATCGGCAATTATATTTTGTGGAAATATGTACTTGTACATGGACAGGCAGAAAACATTTTGGTAATCAACCCAAGCCTTAAAGTATTGAAGTAGCCCTTAGCACACATATTGACTAAACAAAAATCTAAAACTAATTCCTTTACCCCTTTTACATCAAGAAATAATGTTAAAGAAATAAAAAGAAGTATTTTAAAAAAGTTTTTATAAAACCAACATTGCTATATCTATGTTACCTGTAAATTCTTAATTATCACCACTATATATACATTATGATGCACATTATACACACATTCACTTCTAGGGGAAAAACATCCTTAAATAAGGATCAGGAATCATTAAACAGTGTTTAAAGAAAATGAACAAAAATTGTTGCTTGTCATTTCAATGGCATATTGTACCAGTTATCAGTTGCTGTGCCATACGTCTTTACTTTTCAGCGTAATTTAGTAGCCGTATTTAGCATTCAGATGAGTTCTGCCGTCACCACTTTGACCTGCTCAACAGAGAAAATAATATTTTAACATTTAACATATTTTTTTTTGCTATAATGCTTTTAAAATAATTTGCATTACTGTTGTTTCAATGATTTTACCTCAATGGTTTTTTTAAATGTGTTCAATTTTTTTTTATTTTTATAGTTTTAACTTTAAATCCTGTAAATATTTTCTTAATGAGTAGGATAAAATGTTTTAAACATATTAGCAAATTCGTTGATTAGAAATTGATAGGTTAGAAACACAAAAGGTATATGCAGAATTTGCAGGCTATTTGCCATTTGAGAAATGGAGCTAGGAAACCTAATAAATATGTGTATGTATGTATACTTCTTACAACACTGTGATTTTATTACTGAAAAAACAAATTACTCAGAAGTTTTGGATATTGCCCACTAAAGGACTATTCTATCTCCTACAAAGATAGGCAAGGCTGTTGCCATTATTTCAACTCTAGCTTTCAATACAGCTAGAACCAGAAGCACATTGGGAAGATAATTAATACTGTCAAAGTTGCTTTCGAATCTGAACAGCATCATTCCTGCAAAAACTTCACATAGTTTCGATTCTCTACCAAAATCCACTTCTGGCTATTATATTTAGAGATGGAACATTGATTTTGTCTGTACTTGCTTAGCATTTATATAACTCCATTTTGAAGGACAAATAGGAATCTATAGTATATCCCCACCCCCAGCACCATTCTGATTGTATCGTTTACTCTGTCCTTCAAATAAGTTAGGTTTTTTTTATAATGTATGTATGTGTGTCTTTGAGTCTACAGTTTTCTTGCCAAGATTTCAGAATTGGTTTGCCATTGCCTGATTGGCACAAGGTTAGCCATTAAAATGGGACTAGAACACCTGTCCCTAAGTTTTCTTTGTTCATATATAAACTATATTTTGTCAGCAACTCATGTTCCACAATTACTCTGTCCTTTACCTTCAGGTGGTACCCATACACAGTAATCTGGATCATCTTCTGGATAGTTTGAGGATAATGAATGTTGAATCTGTAGGACAGAAAGTAATTTGCTTTTTGTAAACGTATTCCAGTATGTTCAACTTTCTTTGCATTGTGGGCACGCTAGTCCAGAATAACATAAATACATTTTAAAAAATGAATGGGAGGCAAAATTTAAATTTAGCACTTATTAAACAAATCAATAGAATAAATCTGTCAAATGTTAAATTTTGCTAATTATTAGTTTTGCATAATTTAAATTCTTGTTACAGAATAACACACCAACGTATAATGATTCCCATCTCTTTGCAAAGCAGTTGATCCCAAGATTTAAAATAAACAAAAACAAAGCCACCTCAAAGCACTCTGTCCTGTGTATAGAGATGTATTCAAGTCTTAAATATTTGGCAGTGGCAAAATAAAACAGAGGTAGTGGAATGTTGCTGGCAGGCTGTGCAAACAGTTGGATGGGGTGGGGGGAGAATAATAGAACACAACTTTTATATTTTCTGTTATCTACAGCAGTGTTTCTCAACCTCAAAAATTTTAAGAGGTTGGACTTCAATTCCCAGAATTCCCTAGCCAGCTGTGAGAGTTGAAGTCTACATATTTTAAATGCTGAGATTGAGAATGAGTGAGCCCAAAGCAAAAATGTAAACTGGAGTATCAAAGTCATATATCTGGCCAACCATCACATACCTATAATTCATTTCCAATTATGATTTGTGGGCAAAGTACTGTTTTGTCAGACTGTACTCTGAGGCTTGCTTTATACTGTGTGAGATGGATTTTTGTACCAAATGAAGAAAGAACTAAACAACATATAGGTTTTTTTTTTTTAGTTGGACTTAAATTGAGGAAAATGCTAACAATTGTTTAAATAATTGTTTCTACTGGAAGATTCCAGGAAAAGAATACAAAAATTTTCTCAAGACATTTTAAATAAGGTAATTTGCAGACAGGCCCCCAAACATTGCATTGTTATATCTGATTCTATGCTAGAGAATAGTTTTATTTTTAAGTCTATTTTTGCTTTGTGAAGGAGAAAAAAAGTGCAGTATCTCCTGACTTATGCAGTACCGGCTAACATTCAGTTAAGTACTATGGCAGATTGGTAGAGCAAGATTGACAGCAGATGGTAAAACAGCTGCACATAATTTCTCATCGTTAGCTCTACTGCACTACCAAGAATGATTAGATATTTTAATCATTGCTGGTTTAATGGAAACCAAGTATTTGAATTATAATCCTTTAATGTAAACTGTTGTAATGTTTGAGAGGATAGCTACTATTCCCAAAATATCAAGAAGTATCTCCTTCTGATAAATATAAAAGTTGTCCCTCCAAAAGCAATATGCAATAGGATCAGGCTGAGACAAAGAGATAATTGTGCTCTAGTTCCCTTAACAAGCAATTCTTCTTCTAATTCATAAGGGAGTCTCTCCCTTCCATTCAAAATCTCTTCCCCCAAACATGGAAAGAGTATTCAGCATCTGATATCCATAACTATAATCATGATTATCTGGATTGTACTGCCTCAGACCAAACTGGTGTGCGATCTGGGACTCACAGATCTTGCTCAAGGAGCAGTGACAACTGAGAGTTTATGAGAGCTTTTACCCAGCCTTGGATTATGCACTGGTTGTGCACTGGATTGAAGTTATACCTAGTGACTTCTAGACTGGGCTACTACCACGTGTTCTACAAGAACCTCCATTTGAAGAGCTTTCAGCAGCTGCAGCTGATGTAGAATGAGTAGTGGTTAGTGGTGTCTATTTTGTGGTACATGGAATACCACTGCTCCGTGATTTGCACTGGCTACCACTGTGCTTCCAGTTCCAATTCAAACTGCTCGGAGCCTTCTGGTTACGTTGATTGCTGTTGTTTTTTGTGATTTTCAACTACTGTGATTTTTATATTTTGTATTTTTTTTAATGCTGTAAGTTGTCCATGGTAATTTATTCAAGATAGACCACTATATAAATCTATGTAACAAACAAACAAAAAGTTTTGTCCTTCCAACTCACCTTAGGTTTACTGCTATCTTTCTGATTCTTTGGTTTTTCTGCTGGCATCTCAGATGCTAGTAAAGTAAACAGTTGGAAAAATGAAGTTTATGATAGCAGTTCTTAATTCTTTGGTTAGTTTCAAAATAAACAAATCCTTTCTTTAAGAACAACACATAGGGAGTTGTGAAAATAAAGCACTGTGTCTCATCTGACAAAACAGTGCAGATATCTCAGAAATGTTTATATCAGTAGGACTGTCATACTTCCTTTGTAATATATCTAAGGTGAAGTATTATTAACATTTCTAATTTCTAATATTTTGTCTGAAATATATTTTCCTTAGTTTCTTCTTCCTTAAATTTATTTTGTTTCAATTATTGTTATACAAGTATTTTTAAAAATTGAATTATCACTGATAATTATTTTTCTGTTACGTTCCATCAATTTACTTTAAAAAAAAAAAGATAAAAGTAGTTCTTCACCTGTTTGTGTATTCCACTCCTACTGGAAATAATCCAACACTAAAGCACCATTTACGATTGTTTTTTCTCTTCATTCTTCTGAAAAGTCTCGAGTTTCTAAATTAATTCTTTTACAAGAACTGAGCTTTTATAGAGATAAGCTGAGCATTCAAAGTCCAAGATCTCTCTGGATTTGCAGGGGGAATAAAAAAGTTTCAGCAAGGCTCAGCATGACTGGTTTGAGGCTCCTGAATTTTTCTCACAGCCCCTCAGGTGACAGGTTCGAGTGGCTGAGATTGATATGCATCAGAGATCTGGAGAGGTTGAAAGTTCAGCCTGGGCCCAGTGGCTGGAAGCTATCCACTTTATTTTCATTCTAAATTTTGCAGTGCAATATTGAATGCAAAATATTGTTTAAAACACTTTCCTTCATTTTGAACTAGAAAAAAAGTGGCCTTCCTAAGAGCCAAGAACTATTTTCATCACAGGTTGTGAAATATAATCTGTTTCAGTATTAATGAAATTGTCATTTTCTCCTAGCATTCATAATCCACAGATTATTCAGAAACAAAGAGCTGGATAAAACAGCTTACCTTCTAGTTTTACCTGCAATTCATTCACTGGGGAATTATGAGCTAATGAGCTTGTATGCTTGCTTGAAGACTCAGACTGAGACTTAAGTCCTATAAAAACACAAGTGGACCCCAGAAATTTAGTTAATTAGGAATAGAAATAGTAATTTCTACACTTTTTCATTCTTTAAAAATAGAGTTTTATCAAACTAGAGCGGCTTTTCCATTACACACAGCAATGATATTGCAAAATAAAGCAAGAGATAAGAGCAATTCATTAACCCCTCCAGACAAATAAAAACAGGGTGCCTTAAAATGTGAAAAAGAAATCAGATTGTATAAAGATAAAATATGATTTAAAAAATAATAATAATGGGAATATCAAATAAGAATGAACATTGCCTTATTGTGTATGCATGCACAATATATGTACTGCATGTTTTGATTATGATGAAGTGACCACTATGTTGCTTCTTCTGATATCCCCTCTCTCTGGATACTGCCAAACAAAGTGCATAAAAAAGCTAATGCATAACTCAGGCTGTTGCAGACGCTGCATCCTAGACTGTCTGGTCAAAGCTGGTAAAAAAGATACTTTGCAACTGAGACCAACTCATGATATCCGTTCTTTCCTTTCAAGCTCCAAAAATTGTGTGGCCTCAAATAATGTAGATACAATAGTCTTCTTATACCAATCTGCCTGGTTATTAATTGGAACAGACATTGTTCCTGGTTCTGTATGAGAAAATTAATCATTAAACTTCCTCAAGAGCAAGGATGGTTTCTTTTTAATTGCCCTGTAACAGAAAGCTTGCCTAAGACCAGTGCTACAATCTTTTTGGTGATAGGTTAAACTTCTAATTTTGCAGGCCTTTTCTTGATTTTTTATATTAGTTGTTTTTACTACTGACTGTTTTAAGATTTCCCCCTATACCACTATTGGGTAATGCTTTTGTATTACATTTATAATCATGCTATTTTGTAACCACATTGGGTTGATGATACAGAATATAAAGTTTAAAATTAAAATTTTAAAAATATTCTGGGCAATATGAAAATTATGCACATTTCACATAGCCCACTGCATTGTAGTGGTCAATAAGGATTCCGAATCCTTCTCTCTCAGCTTAGTTCATTTAACACCTTACCAATCTTTGGAGCTTATGGAGCCAAGCACCTTCTGAATATTGAGAAACAATGGACTTTGCTGAAAAGGGGCTTAGATAATGGAAATGTTGGCTAATGCATATGGAAGATGGCAGCCCGGTGAGATGTGCCCCTATTGCCCCAATGGGGCCAGGCAGGCTGCACTCACTTCACAATGTAGTCGCTCTCAACAATAGTTTCAGTGCTGCCACCTGTGCAATGGGTGTCACTAACTTTGTCTTTATACCTCCCTCCGACTGTTTCCACAGAAGAGGGAAGTAGATGGACCTCATGTGTTTTGGTGCTCAACCTCTACCTCCCATTTGCCTGGACATCCTTTCTACTCTATTAGTACATTAAACTGAACATTTACTGTGTTAAGTAAATACAATTGCTAGTAAAATGACTAAATCTTCACATTCACTTTAATAAGTTCCAACTAATTAAAATATGTGCAAGTTGAATGAAAATTAAAAAAAACCACAGTACAATTAATCATCATTAAGGAATTCCATACTTTGGTTGCTGGGTGAATAAGAACTGGAGAGGGGATTCTCTTCTTTAACCATTTCCATCTTTGTGTTCTGTGAACTTTGATTTACACTGCTGTTCACATCATCTTCCTCCTCCTCCTCTTCTTCTTCCTCTTCTTCTGGCCTCTCATCTTTCATCTTTAACAGGTTTACCGGTATATCTGGACGTTTCATGGGCAGCTTCTATATTGTAAACAGAAATTACAGTAAAGATTGTTTTTCACTGACATTGAAAAATAAGGAAAATTGGAAAAGGTACTTTAAAAGCTGATCTTATACATATGTCTAGGAATAAGAAGTTAATGATCTAATGTTTATTTCAGAAAATATATAGTTCCTATGATAAACACGTGAGATACAAATTCTGAAATCCTATGGCAGCTTTTCCTGCCTTTTATTCTTCTCACTTACTTACTTACCCCTACCGTCCCTGTTTTTAGTCTGAATTTGCTTCCGCCTTTCATGGCACCAAATAGGGGTAATGTTAGCTTTTTGGGCTTATTTTGGGATTCCAGATCTTGATTCTGAAACCTAAAATGAAATATATCAAAAAAATTAACATCAGATATTGAAGAACAAATTTACTCATATGGATAACCTACAAACAGTCTACACAACTCTACTTGGGCTGGTTTCATGCAGTACAGATTTATATGACTGATGGGAACCCGATGCAGGCAATCAAGGCCAGTTCACACAACAGTGCATTTCTTATCTCAAGCATGAACTTATGTCTCTTGCAATTGCTCAGGGGTTATTACACATTACAGTGGTGCTCACACCATCTACAATTAATTCAAACCATAATTTAAATTGAAGTCAGAATATTTTAAGTTCGAATATAACCTGTATTCCATTACAATTGCACTTAATAAAGTACAGTATATTATATACTTCACTTTACTTTATTTTACTGATTAACCCTCGGGCCATATCAAAGATTTATATATTTATTTAAAATAAAAGGAAAAGTCAAAGTGATTAATGCTGTGCAATCAAACTCACTGGGACTTCAGTTGTGGCATGGATGCAGGGGTAACTATCTTAATTAATCCTTTCAATCGCTGCTGTTCCTTCCTCAGTTCAAAGGTTCTCAAATGAAGTTTTTTACGTGTCACACTGTCTACGGAACACCCTGACTTGATTTCTGTCATAAATTCATCCAGTGAATCCTGAGTTGCTGAATGGGACTGTGCTATGGGAAATTATATATTAAAACACGTACGTGAAATATAGATTCAAATATAGTTGTAAATACATAAATAATACAGAGAATATCTGCAAAAAGCATACAGTGTTTCAATGCATCTTGGTATCCAATTATTCTTATAACAGTTTTAGTGGCAATATTCTCCTTTCTCCTTCCCATTTAAAGATTAAAACAATATTGATTAATTTAATGAAATTATTATTTTTTAAACAAAGGAAATTCTAAAACCAACCTGTCCTGTGTAAAAGCAAACGTTTTATGCTTTGTAAAGTCACAGTTTCATGTTAAACTTTAAATCTAATGCAAGTAAGCATCTTAGTTTGTACTTGCTAAGATAATGGCTAGATATATCTTCATTTTAATTCACACAAAAACAAGTCATATTTGATTCCCAGGAATTGATTTCTCAATCTCACTGTCATTATTGTATCTTCTTTCAAAAGAAATATACTGTAATTCTATTTCTAATACCCTGTTTCCCTGAAAATAAGACCTACCCAGATAATAAGCCCAATTGGGCTTTTGAGTACATGTGCTAAATAAGCCCTCCCCTGAAAATAAGACCTCCCCAAAATACTGCAACACAGTAGCAGCCATGAGGTGATCACACTCGCTGCCTCCTGCAACTCAAAAATAATAAGATCTCCCCGAAAATAATGCCAAATGCTTATTTTGGGGAATCAAAAGAAAATAAGACCCTGTCTTATTTTCAGGGAAACACGGTATGGATTTTAAAATATAATTTGAATCTGTAAAATATGAATACATAGTTATATATAAAAGCAAACAATGTTACCTTCAATAATGTTGATATATTTTGAACTGCATTGTCCCCTAATACTATCCTACTTAAATTTTTAGAAAAGTGTTATAAAAATCTAAGAATTCGCACACCAGTAAGAGAACCTTCCTCTCAGAAAGTAAGAGAATATTTGGCCTGATTCAGGGATTGTAATTTCCTTTGAAAACAAGATTATTCCAAATATTCAATGCCCATACTATCTACAGGCTGTGGAAGTTTGGATGAGGACGAACAGCCTTCAGGTCAATCCAAGTAACAGTGAAAGAATGTAGATGTGGAGACTATTTAGTCAGGGAAATCTATCATCATTAGTTTTGCTAATTTGTGCTAATTCAGACAGAAGCAGTGGGAAATTTGTGAACTGTCTTAAACTCCAGTTGCTGTTGAAAGAATAGATGGCAGCTATGGCTAAGGCAGCCTTTACACAAATTCACTTTATGCTACAACTGTATCTCTTCTGGATCAGAGGATCCTTTTATAATTACTCATGCTATAGTTACCCCTATTGACTGGACTATTCTGGGGTTGCCTTTGAAGACTGCATGGCAGGGCGAGTATGCGTTGTATTTCCTCTTCCTTCTTATACATATTTCAGTCAATTAAAAAGGTGTCAGCCTGAGTCACAAATGTTATCTGATATTCTAACCTTAAAAAGTGCCTCAGCCTTTTTGCTTAGATGATGGATCCTAGATAATGATCAGCTTCCTTATTCTCTACAATCTAGCTCTATTTATCTCCATTAATGAAACAATCTCACCATGTGAGATCCATGAAGCATGCTTTGTCGAAACATTTGACACATGCAACATATGTCTCCCTTTATCTTGTGAGCCTTTAGAAAGGTCCCAGAGATAAAAAAAATGACATTATGAAATCAATCATCTTTTTTATCTGGTTAATTATCTTTTTCTCTGGTCACTGCTGAGTCAGTTAAGTCCACGAAAATAAACCTATACTATTAAAAGCTGGTGGCAATAAAAAAATACTTCAATGTTTGTATGTTAATTAATCATATTCTACAATTTGACCCTGCCTGATGCATAAATATATTATTGAAGGAATGATTTCAAAACAATTTTATTTTTATTTATTTAGAAAGTTATTTGCTGCCCATCTCGTTTCAAACTGACTCTGGGCAGCTTACAATGTAAAAGTAATACTTTTAATGATCCATTTGTGTAAGACAGCCTGCAATCATATATACAATGATATGTTCCTATGAGATTTTCCCAATTTTAATGGAAACTTATAGCCTTACTTGTCCTTGAAGATTTTAGCTTCTCTGCTATTTCAGAGAGCTCTCTTTCACCTGCATGTAGTTTTGCAACCTATAAATAGATAAGATACCCATGGTAAGTCAGACGTCAGTACTGATTTGTTTTATCTTTCTTTTCAAAACTTAATTTGCTCTTACCAATGAATCATATGTTTCTGGCTTTTCATCTATCTTTCCAGCTTTCTTCATTCTGTTGAGTCGTTTCTGTTCAATAACTCCTGTCCGATCAAGGAATATGTCATCATCACTATCGTAGAAGTCTTCTTCTTCCCAATTCTTTGCTTTTCTTTTCCGGGACACTAAGGGAAAAGTGTTTATATTTTTATTTACTTATGAAATTTCTATATTGCCTATCTCACCTGCATGACTCTGGATTGTTTACAAATAACCCACAGATAAATTTGCAAATAAAATACTGACAAAAGAAATAAAATACAAGCAAAGGGAGGCCAATAATCCACAAATATGATTTCACACATTTTTTTAAAAACGTGTCTCATATAAGATCACATATTTGTGATGAAAATAATAAATATAAGCAGTATATTATGAGGATTGAACGGCTGTAATGTTGTAACATGCCAAAAGATGGCAGTACAGATATACTTGAAGCTCTAACATAGTGATTCCTGAACTTTTTGTCATCACACCTTTTAGTGTAAACTTAATGTACATACCTCCCCTAAATATCCAAGCAAAATGTATAGAAATGAACTATGAAAACAATACAATAAAACTTTGGAGTTAGGAAGATTGTAACAATGTACAACTAAAAAGTTCTTCACACCTTCCCTGAACTCTGTCTATAAATTATCAAGGGACCTACACCTCAGTTTGGGAAATAACGTTCCAACATGTTGTTTGCAATCTGTTCTCCCACTTCAGTGGGCTATAAGTTGGTATGAGAAAAGGCTGTATTGCTATTGTTTGTGAAATGGAAGCTTGCAGTCAGTACTTGCCACTATGCATTGATTACTTTCTGGCTGCAGAAGGAATCCTTCCAACTGAAATTCACTACAGAACATATGTTTATGGCTAAGATTGTGTTAATAATATGAGTCACCCAAGAGGCAAACACCTGTCGTCAGGACCTGGCTGAAGAAACAAAGCTTTAAGAAGCTTGTCCTTTGCCGGCAAATGTGGTTAATATATGAAGAAGTAAAATATTTACAGGTAATATTCAAGGATTATTTTCCTTTATTACAATATACATATTTAAACTGCAATTATTTATGCAGAAGGCTTATTTTTCGATCAACCCTTGTTTAGAGCTCCTTATCAAATGGTGAGGTAAAAAAACCTTTTAAAGAGTAATTACATTCAGACTGATGATTTTATGTCTGCAAGAAAACAATAAAGCTCAAAGAACACCAAGGACTCCACATTAAACTACATTTAGCCAAAGCACAAGTACATAGGCATACATTTACAAAAGTTTTTGATAACAATATTGCTTCATTAAGATTTCTGCTGAGAAAAAAATCTGGCCACATAACTTACCTGCCTCTTGTCGCAACACACCCCTAGCATCCAATATTCTGCAGGCTTCCAATGCACACTGGATCATTGCTTCTTTTTTCTTCCCCGAATGAATAGCTTCTGCTACGAGCTGTTTCCCTGAGGCATCATCTATAGGCAGCCTACCCAAATTAATGGGGTGAAATTATAAAGCAAAATCAACAGTTCAGTCAATTCCTTTGATTTGTTTTTTTAAATCAAACATTTTAAAATTGGCTTAAGCAAAGTTTTTTCCTGTTATTTTAAAGGCAAGGTGTTTAGTTATTTCAAATTAGTTTTCCATTCCAGGTATAATAGTAAAAAATCACAATGTCATAGATGTAATAGACAAATGAGGAAGAAAAAAAGACAACGCCTCCCACCAACTAACCAACACCAGACAGAAAACAAACAGACAAACAAAATAAACGATTAACCCCCATACCTGCAAAATAAATAAATAAATCCATTTTAGATATCAATCCATATCTGGAAATAAGTGACATAAAATATTTTGCAGCCTGTCTAATTGAATGAATATACACAAAATTGTTGCATAACATACATACATACTTCACCCTACAAAGCCAGGTGCCTGTTCCATGAGAATCAAATTCATATTCCAATTCTTCACCTAAATAAAGAGGGAAAGGGGAATCAAATTATTGGTTTTAAAGGATAGCTTTTTAATATTTATATTAATCAATATTTTATTACTGTTGTAAACTTGTTAATTTAATTACATGGATTAAACCAAATTGGAACTTCCAAATTGACTGATCCAAATCATTTGAAGTCTTTTAATAGTTAGCTGCTTGTTAGATGTCACTAGCTCTGCATACAATTTCATCTGAAATGAATTGCTGTTTAATTTGGATTCATTTATCAATTACTTCATCCAACACTATATGTGTGTCAAGTAGTGCTGGATGTGACATTATTTGGCAAATGACCGAAAACATGATCTACCATAAGTACCAATGACATATTTTTAGTAAGTAGAAATGCAGCTTTGGGGAGCTCCATATGCTTTCACAAAAAATGTTCCTTATCTTAGATGTTAGTGTATCTTCATACAACTTGTTAGTCAATCAGCTGCATCATTTCTTGAAAACCACAAACATTGTTACTATTAAATGTCCTAACAACAATCTAATTAGACAACTGCAATATATTTCATAATAATTACTTCTAAAAAGAAGTTAATAATAGCAAGAACACATAGGTGTGGCCAAGCTGTTGTTTAACTCCACTGTTAAACACTGGAAACAATCTATTTCTCAGGTTAGTTTAAAAAACAAGACAATTTATAATAAGTATAATCTTTATTGTCATTGTACTTAAATACAAATGAAATTGGTTGTATTTGGGGATTTAAAAACTCAGCAGCCTTGTTTCCCTTCAAGTGGGAGGAGGGAAGGCTTCTAACAGAGGGTGGATAGTGAGTTGTATGAAATGCTTTAGCAGATCTTGCACTAAGCAATAGGGCAACATGACGATTCTACTAGCCTGGAAATTCAACATATGATACTGGTTTTGTCGTTATTGTGTTTCAATGGCCTAAAATGATACTTAAATATACTGCAAATTAAATAGGCAAACTCAAAATGGCAGAAATAAGTCATTCTTTTGAACACTAGAAAGAAACAAATGCACTGGATATTTTTGGCTAGCACCTTGTCAACCATCCCATTTGCAACATTCAACAAAAGAAACTTCCGGCTCTTTAGGATGACCAAGAGTAGCTTTATTGAAATATTCATCTAGTCAAAGCAGAAGCAAAATCAGTTCTTGGATTTTCCCGCTATGGAGTTGAGTCAAATTTAACACACCTTCTCTATCAAAAAACCCTTGCAATGCCTTTTTGGGATCTTTCAAATAAAAGGCTTCTTGATCCTCTTGAAACTCAACAGCAATTGGATTTTCTTCACCCTCTTCTTCCTCTGCATCTTCCCCTGAAAAATAAATTCAGGTAGAATTAGGCATCAGAGATGACTCAAAATGTAATAAGAACATTAAACTTTGACATAACCTAGCATGGCTAGCATTCTATTCTCAGGGTTCCCAGTCAGATACTTATGAGAAATCAAAGATGAGACTTGTTCTACTAGATCTTTTCATGCTCTTCAGAAATTTTCAGAAACATGTTCAGAAATTATAGCCATGATTAGTAACTACTGCAATCTTTCATTTAATACATTTATCTAGTCCCATGTCGATATCAGTCATATTCTCCAGAAACAAATTCCAAATGTTAAATATGTGTGTTGTAAAGTAATAATTTTATTCCCATCATATAGCTTCATTTAAGGATGTTGTGTTTGAGGAAAAGAAAGGGGAAGAAAACCTTTTTCCAGGTTAACTTTTCTTTGACCATGTGTAAATCATATTACTTGATATTTTTCATGGGCTGAATGTTGTAACATACTAGTCATAGAAAATTTAACTGGCTGCTCTTTTCAGCTTCTAAAAGGTTTTTATTCTAAAAAGTTTTCATCCTAAAAGCTTTTCTTCTTAAGATGTTGATCAGTAATATTTTTGCACAATATTATGCCGAGACTGCATTATAATATTGACAGTTTTGTTATAGATTCACTTTCTTAATAATTCTTTATATAGAACCTGATTTATTATGCAGTGTTTTTTTTCCCAACTATGGAAAAATAATATTTTCATCCAGCTGCTTTGCATAAGCCTGGGAACATTTTGTTACATGTCATCAGCTGTAGGGATTTTTGCTTTAATGTGTGAAAGCAACAGCATTCACAGAACCATATTTGCCATTTTATTGTCCAACTTTAATTCTTTTAATTTGGAGAGACTGCCTTCTCTTCTCCTTGCTGTAGCCATCTAAATTATTTATTGCCATTTATGCATTTCACCACTCACTTAAAATATAACTCACTTACATAATTAAAAAGTATTAATTCTATTACAAGGGTTTGAATGATCACACTGTTGAAATTTCTCCACAGTGAGATCATCTTTTATTCCTTTAGTTAATTAATGAGGCGTTTATAAAGAACCTTTTTCTCTTAGCACATTACTGGTTACTTTGTTTATGAGTACCTGGGCTCCTACAGCACTTTTTAATACTGTAAAACCTCTCCAGAAGAACATAGAAAAACAGTATTTTTATTATGAGTTTAAAAAAACAACACTTTTCACTCATACTGGATTTAATGGACAGGCACTAGATCAGTTTTAAATTCCCCAAAATTTTGCCATTATAAATTGAATGATCTATCACTATGGGGCTCTAGAGAAGAGAATTTATTTCAAGAATAAATGACTCAAGTATTTGACACAGTAAAGTTTTAGAAAAACATTTCAAAAAAATTCAGTCAAATAAATTTTTAAATATTTGAACATAATGAATTTATCAAAGTAAATCTATTTTAGGAAAAATACATCCCTTAGAGTAGTTTTTTGTTACAATAATAATTTATATTTGGGAGATAAAATGGTATGATCTTGCTTATATATACATCAAGCCTGAAATATGAGTAACTAAGCAAATATATCTGTCTCAAATAGATAATTTTCTTTTTGCATGGTTTGTACAACTGATCCAGTAAAATCCATTACAAGTCTTGATAAAGAAACTTGTTACTTAGTTGGCTGCATATAATCTAGGCTATGCTCAGTTTACATCTGATATGATTTTGATAATTTTTAATGTTAGATATAATTTTAACTAAAAAAAACAGTTTTTGCTTCAGAGGATGATTTAGAATATTGTGAAATAAGCGGATTGTGGATTCTCTGAATCCACTTGCACTTGCTCATACATGCCTGGATCTATTTCCCTAAAACTAAATATAATGCATGTATATAGACATTTTCTCTTAGCACATTACTGATTAACACAGGGTATATTATATTATTTCAATCACAACATTTCATATGAATTTGTAAAAAAAAAACTTTAAGTAGAAAATGGCTGAGGGAAGTGGCAAATAGGGCTCAAGTCAGAAGCAAATTGCATCTGCAAACTGACATAGCAAATCAATGCAAAATAAGCTCCATGAAAACATATCATTGAAGATTCTGGCAACAAAATATTATAATCTTACCTATTCCCCAGGAACAGCTTAAATCACTCCGACTAGTTTCACTTTTCTTTATTTCAATTTCCTTTTGTTCCTCGTCAGAATCATCACCCAGCATAGTTTTTTCTAACTTAGCCTTTTGCTGCTTACGCAGTTCTTTCAGTTGTGTTACAGTCAGTTCTGATTCTGGCTCTTGATCCTCCTCTGGACCCTGGGGATTAAAGTTATAAACTTAAAAACTATATGCCAAGAATTAAGTCCTATTAAATTAATTGTGTATTACTTTTCAGTGATTATATAAAAAATCTGGACAGGATAACACCAGAAAAATCAGCATCTTATTTATTCTAATCACATTCATGCTAAAGCTACCAGACATTTTCTTAAGGCAATGAAGACAAATATGGTTGCAATACTGGAAAAAGTCTGATGCAAGTTGCAAATGAGAATAATGAAAACTATCAAAAGAGCTTTGTAATATGCAAATATTCAATCAGCATATTTACTTTAACATTAAAAATATAATCTTTCCATATTTTTATCTTCTTTTTGACATTGTTCACATGACAATTTTGTATTGTCTAAACTGTATATTTATGTATAATAGCACAAGACTCAGATCTCCCCCCCAAATAAAAAATAAGTGAAATATAAAATAATTGAAAATAAAGTAATAAATTAAAAAGAAAACAAAAAACTCAAAGGGCCACCTGGTTTTTTTCTGCCATCAGTTTTCCATGTTTCTATTTTCTTTAAAAAACATGCAATGATGAAAAAAAAAACTATTTAGCCCTTTCTCATGTTCAATACAAATCTTCAAGGAAAATAGGCACTCTTCAAAATATAAAATCTATTGTAATATACTGTAACCTCTGCACCTCTATAACTGTCTGGTTTGGTTCTGCAACCCAACAAGACAGATACAGACTTCAAAGGATAATTAGAACTGCAGAAAAAAAACAATTACTACCAACCTGCCTTCCATTGAGGACCTGTACATTGCACGAGTCTAAAAGAGGGCCATGAAAATATTTACAGACTCCTCGCATCCTGGACATAAATTGTATCAACTCCTACCCTCAAAACGATGCTGCACAGCACTGCATACCAAGACACGTAGAAACAAGAACAGTTTCCCCCCGAATGCCATCACTCTGTTAAACAAATAATTTCCTCAGCACTGTCAAACTATTCACTACGGCTGCATTACTATTACTATTAG